TTTCTAACACCTTCAAACACTGTTCAACTTTGGCTTTGCTACCGATATGCCAATATGTTGTTGTCATAATGAACTGAGATTTCCTTATTCTATGTAGAATTCTATTTATTGATAATGTACTAACTGGATGCAATACTGTAGTAAAAATGCTGAGAATTCCATTCTGTATCACAAGTACTGTTTTGGAATAAAGCAAATTATTATTATTTTTAAAGTTAGGCGCAGAATGAGAGGCAAGTAAGTCAATTAGGTCATGAAGCCACATTGTTTGAGATGTCTAGGACAAGTGTTACACATTCCGAGTCACCAACTTCCTCTATGGGGAAAATTTTGCTAATATAAGGTTGGGATGAAAAGTCTCACAGTGTTGTTATACAGTAATATTTACTGATGGCCACGTTTCGAGCACAATTTATTGCCACTCATAATCATATCAATGCACTACTCACACAACTTTCTTTCCATTTTTGTTTATATAATTTCATTATTTCAATTCATCGCTTGACTTGACTGGTAGTAGTATTTTCCATACTTCCGGTATGAGTGATGAGTCATTCCCAACACGTGCAATGGGAATGACTGTATATTACTGTGAGACTTTATCAAAATAAATTTTACCCATAATGGAATTATACTCTACTGCCACAGTGCACAAGTTTTATTCTTATATCATTGGGTTGAAAAGGCTGCAAAGTAACTCGATTTTCTGATGTAGAGTGATCTCGGTTGTTTCCTATACTACCGCACGAATTTTATGAGAACTCTGTACTGATTTTAAGTCTATCCCCATATAGGTTTGTTATCATTTTATTTCTTTACATTCCCAGTGGAACATAGGGCGGCTTCAAGCTAGACCTTTGAAGTCTTGTTAGTAGTGAGGTTGTTAACCTTACGCCCAACCTTCGCTCTTTACCAGCCTTACTGCTGGTTTAGCCAGGGTCAGGAGTGCGTCGGCGGCCGGGGATCGAACTCTGGACCACGTAAATCGTCGTTGACAAGCAACCTACCGTTGAACCACGGACTCAGTAAGGGTTTATGGTACTTCACCTTTGTAGAAATGTATTCAAAACCGAAGGATGGTCGATACCTTGACGTAATAGTCGGGCTTACATATAACAATAATGAGAAAAAGCTATCTGGCTTGGAACAAATGTTCCCTCAGACTCCACTATGATAAAAATCAGTTACCATAGCAGTGTAAATTGCTTACACTGTGGTGAAGGCTAATTCGTACTTGGATAACCAGCAAGTTGAATTTCCTGGTTAATTCCAAAAGCTGTTTTTCCCTAATAGATCAATGTGCGTCGATGGCACAGCGGTAGAATACTCACTAACCACGCAGGTGGTTCGGGGTTCGAACCCCGGACACCGACGCACTCTTTTGCCTCGCTAAGCCAGTAATAAGACTGGTAAAGAGGGAAAGTTGGGCATGAGGCTAGCAACCCCATCCCGTAAAATATAAACATCACTGCTACCGAAACTTCGAAGCTGTAGCATTAAGTCCCATTGTTCCACTGGGAACGTAAAGGAGTTTTTAAAAAAATTGACTAATGGTGGTCTGAAATCGGTGATAAAGTTATCTCTACAAGAAAAAGACTCCTTAAACTTCACCTACAAACAGTCTCTCTCTCTCTGTGACGGGTAAGAAGCATTTTTCTTCCGGAATTTGCGGTCACGTAACACCAGACAGATATCTGGGAAGTAGCAGGTGATACACACCTCGATGAGCACGCGAACTTCTGTTCACCACCTGCTCTCTTGCTTTTATCATACTGCTAGTGATATTCTCCAGGCATTTTTTCACCCCTTAACTCTGTGGTCACGAAGTTGCCGATTGTTGTTAATCTAAACCGTACAGAGATGTGCAAACTGGCCAGCTGGGATCCTCCGAACATTAGGAACTAGAGGTGTCACAGAAGAAGACAAGAGACTTGGTAACGGAATATTTATTTGCTACTTGATATATCCACATTGGGAAATTGTGTACACCTTGTGTGAAAATGGTCATTTGCACAGATCATCTGTGTTGTTCCACTTTTCGTATCTCCCATGTTTCGCCACATTACGGATCATCATTGAACAAAGCTTGGAATGGCAGTCACCTCTCTATCTCAACTTCATCGACTTTGAAAAGGCCTTTGAAAGCGTCGATCGAGAGGTGATTTGGAAACTACTTCGCTACTACGGGGTACCACCAACAATTATACATCTCATCCAACAGCTGTACGACAATGCTGCATGCCAAGTAATCCACAACGGGAAACTTACGGAATCCTTCGAAGTGAAGACGGGAGTAAGACAAGCTGGCTGCCTACTTACCATCCCCAATGATTTTCCTGATTACAGTAGATTAGATAATGCGACAGACAGACAGCAGGCAACGAGGAGACAGGCACAAAATGGACTCACACAAAAAGCTTGGAGGATCTGGACTTCGCCGATGATATATGTCTGATTTCCCACAAACTGGAAGATATGCAAGCCAAAAGCAACAAATTGGCAGAAGAAGCATCAAAGATAGGACTCTAAGTAAACATAGAGAAAACAGAGGTAATGAAGATCCCTGGACAAGAACAACAACAACAGACAACGATCAGCACAAATGGGAGGAACCTAAGAGAAACAACTTCCATCACCTACCTGGGAAGCATCGTTTCAATTACAGGCGAACGGAACTGACGACGATATCAAAGCAAGAATCGGAAAAGCAAGACAAGCTTTCACTACTCTCAAGTCTGTGTGGAGGTCAACAGCACTCAGCATCAAAAATAACATCCAGAATTTCAACTCCAATGTGCAGTCAGTACTACTATACGGATCAGAGACTTGGCGCGTCATAAAGAGCATCTCAAACAAACTATAAACCTTCATCAACAGCTGTCTTCGCTCAATTTTCAAGATCAGATGGCCAGAAAAGATCAGCAACAGGGATCTCTGGGAGCAAACCAACCAGGAACCGATTGTGCAACAAATAAGCAGGAAGAAATAGAGGTGGATTGGCCATACTCTGCGAAAACCATCAAGTGACATCACACACCAGGCCATCGCTTGAGTGGAACCCGAAAGGGAAGCAGCGAGTTGGTTGTCTAAGGGTGACTTGGAGGTAATGTGAAGAGGAGATGAAAGCATGTGGGCAGACCTGGAGCCAGGTGAAGACTCTAGCAGAGAACCGAACGCAATGGAGACGCACGGCTGACGCCCTATGTTCCTCTAGGAATTAAAGTAACAGTAATAATATGTTTCGCCGCACTACTGATTCGTTTCCTCTCTTTGGCGTCAAATCTGTCTCTCCACTATTTGATATACTTTGTTTCGATGAACGTCTCTCTACCTACTTACTGGTATGCCTACCTTGTCAGTAGCACACGCCACAGAGGTACTTGATGAGATAGCTGGAAGTCGGTCACACTGGCCTATACCTATGAAAGTACACTCACTTCATGTTATTTTCTGAATTCTGCACACATGCACTAATCATTCTGTGGCTATTCTCTTAGTCACTTCTGCTTGACATCTGTCTTTGCTCCACTGTAGTTTCAGTAAATTCATCTCTAAAGTTAATGCTGAAAATGTTGTCTAGACAATGGAAGTTTAAATCATCCAGCTTAGTGAACGTGACTTGATATGATGCACTTTCATTCAAACGTCTACCTTAAAAAGTCAGTCAGTTATTCTAAATAGCAAATTTTGATTCATACAATATCTTAATTAGCCAAATATTTATTACTAGAGAGAATGAAATCAATCAGTGGAATTTCAACTGATAATCCTTAACATTCACTTCGAAGTCTGACTAAATGCTATTTTCAAGTAACTCATCGAAGAAGACACTACGCGAAGTAGTCGCGCTATGTTATAAATTGACAGAAGTAAGAATTCATGGACTAGTCATTGGATCGAGTCTCAGTGGCTTGTAACCAAAAGGTTCTGGGTTCGAACCCTGGAACATGAGGTGGGTGCGTACTGTACTGACGAAGAGCCCCAAACTAGGACGAAACAGCTAGCTGTCTAGTACTCCTAGTTGGTTTTCCAATGGTTCCCCAAACTAATATCTCAATCCCCATTATCAGACTTCAAAACCAATCAAATCCCTGCAAACTAACCCTTGAAAATGAATCTGGTGCACCCACACAAACTCGCTAGTGACTGACTACAGAATGAAGTTGTTTGATGTTCAATTGGGAAGTCATGACTAGCTGGGTCCACCAAACTGAGTGGACACCGATGAGATTGGCTGGTGATAAGTTAGAATTCACTGGCCACTAGATTCCGCTCAAGTGTCTGAATGATCAACGAACTCACCTTGTAACCTAATAGTCTTGCAATGGAGTCATGTATGCGTACCGTTGAAGAGTCTCAAATTAAGGTGAAACAACTGTGCTGTTCGTGATTAAACTTGAACTTCCAACTGATAATCAATAATAATTGACGTTCACATTTCGTAAACTGATTACATGTTATATATTCATAGTAGGCATTGATCATATTATCTCCTATCCCGATGGGGAATAAAAGTGAATTAACACAATACTAAAAGGCCTTCATAAACGACCTGGTAAGGATGGGTAGACTTCGTTCTCCCACTCCAAGTGCTGTCATGTGACCACATGTCCAAAGCCTACCTCTTCAGGGTAAGTCCTACCCACAGCCTCCACATGGGTCGCGTGTGCCTCACAAAATTAAACTGGAGAATGAGGACATCTGGAGCTAACAGTCAGACTGGTGGACATCGGAAAACCGTGCTTCCAAACCAAACGGATCAAATGGTGTATGAAACTGTTTTGCCCATAGGAAACCATGAGAACGTAGTTGATGACGCTGCTTCGTTGCCTGGTGGATCAAAGGCTTGGTGGGAGAGTGACTCCTGAAGACAACCATCTACTTCGGTCTGTGCGTCCAAGCAGTATCTCAGCTCTTCGCATAAACCATAGTGATTTTGTATAGCGCATCTCTTCGTGCCCATAATGTTAACAATAAGCATTAAACATTAAATTATCATATTCCTCATGGATAAATGATTAATATTTTACCTTTATTCTTCAACTAAAATTGTTTAGGCAACTAAACGCAAACATACACACGCACATACACACAAAGGGACAGACAGACAGACAAATAAATAAATTTGCCTAGAAACAAGACATTACAAACATTTGAAGGAACAAAAATAATAGTAATACATTAGTATGAATATATATATATATATATGCATTTGTATATCTTTCTGTTTATGATATTGATATTTGTGTGTGTGTGTCCGTGTGTAAGAACTGATTTAATTAGTTTCAAATCTGTCTGCATTCTTCCTTTATATCGTCGTGGTCGCCTCGCCTCTACTTCACAGACTAAAGAGGACAATAACACAATAACAAGTGAGACAATGACAAACGGTATAATGACATGAACGGTTATGTAACAACGTGTCAAGGAGACAGAGGCAGGGAGGGAGAGTGGGTGGGTGGGACAGTATTGGCATGTGTTAATTGTTTTCAAAAGAAACAATGGATAGACAAAAAAAGGTGAAGGCTATTCACGAGACAAACACATACACAAAGGAAGAGATCAATCCGTCAATCAATCAATCAGTCAATCGGCTATAGATGATGATAACTTATTGATTTTCGATCAGTAAAAATAGCAAAGAGACACAATGAACAGTCAGTCACACAAACACAATAATAATATTAATAAGGATAACAAACTTGGGTGAATCACTTTTTAGAAAAAAAGAATGTGATCAAGTTTCACAGGACAAAAGAACAAACTAAACTGATGAAAAGGACCGGGAGAGAAGAGAAGATGTCAAACCCGTTAAAAAGCAATTAGAACAACAAAAACAAATTAGTAGAGTCAGTTACAGTTTGGAATGTGTATTATGTATACATGTATATATCAGGATAAGAATTGACGAAGACTTGGACGCTTTCAAGATTACAAACCACAGTGAAACCATGAAAAGAAGCTTTTTTTAAAAAAAAACAGGAAAGATAAGTAACTAAACATTTTGTTCGCACATTTTCATCGGACAACAGCAACAACAAGGATATTATAGTATATTTTTCAAAAATAAAAACGGGAAATTTTTTTTGGCGCAGTTCACACTTATGACAGACAACACAGAGGATAATAAGTGTGTAGGCATGTTCTTTTTTGTGACTATGTATATGTGTGCATGTAGGTATAAAGAGAGTGTGTTATGCTGTGAATTATTCTGCTTGATCACACACAACAATTAACAAAAGGTAGGAAGGAAGGGAGTAAAGAGACAAGAAGTAGGAGGAGTACCAGTTGAAGTAGTGGTGGTGGTAGTGGTAAGAGTAAATATCACCCGCCATGATGAAAGAGAGAGAGAGGAACAACATTCACATAGTAGTGTAGGAGAAACAAAACAGTGTAAAGAACTCTCGTTCATTCCAATTTGGTCTATTCACAGATAAGATGGAGAGAGTGAGTGAGTGAGTAAGGTAAGTAACAAAGATAAATTGTATGGTATTTGTTAATTATTTATTATTATTGTAGTATTGTTTTCATTTGAGAATATATATTAGCCGGTGCATTGTTGTTATCATGTCCAAGGAGAAGCATTCACTAAAAGGGAAAAAGTTAATAAATAAAACGTTATTATTGTGGTTGGATTTTGACATTATTGAGAAGAAATAACAAACCTATCATAGTTTATGCATCAATATCCATGATGTCTTTGACAATTGGTTTGAGTTAACCACGTACGTGAAGAGGTGTATAGACTACCAGTTGGTTGGAGTCTTCGAGATGCTAAGATCACCAATCGCCAGGGATTACTGGTGATATTATTGGCTGAAAATCGTTTTCACTAACACAGTGTGGTGTATAGAGGGAGTGTGGCATGTTGAACTGCTGCCCCCCCCGCCTTCTGTGTAAAGTTCTATGTTGTAACCCAGTCAATTTATGCATCTTTTGAGGAAAATTAAGAGTAATATTAAGACTTGATACAGGTAATTTGTACAGTGTGTCGCTGTGACTCACTGACCTAGTCGTCGTAGCACTCGATTTCCAACCACTGGGCTCAAACCCCACAACACCACCTACTGAAAGGTTTGCGCCATCAGAGTATTTTTCCTGAAGCACTGAAAACGGACCCAGAGACTGCGGCAGATGTTCTCATACCATTATTACAAAAGGTTTGGGAAGAAGGAAAGGTACCTATCGATTGGAAGAAAGGCTACCTTGCTAAGCTGCCAAGGAAGGGTGACTTAGGCCTCTATCTCTCTGCAAGAACTAGCGTGGAATAATACCCTTGTACACGTCAAGTAAAATGCTAAGTCACGTCATCCCGAAGAGAATAAAGGATGCACTGGATACAGAACTCTCCTAGCCCAGAACAAGCTGAATTCAGGAAAGGTAAATCATTTGCTAATCAAATTGCAACTCTACGCATCGTCATCGAACACAGTATACAATGGCAATCAAATCCCTACTTACCTCAAATTCATAGACTTCGAAAAGGCCTTCGACAGACAGTGTTGACCGCGAAATATTTCGGAAATCACTTCAACACTTCAACACGGTGTGCAACCTCATTCAACAGTTAGCTATATGACAGTGGCACGTGTCAGGTGATCCACAACGGAAAACTCAGCAAGGCGATCGAAGTGAATACAAGAGTAAAACAAGAATGCCCATTATCACTAATGATATTCTTAATTGTGGTGAACTGAATTATGCATCAGACAGTGCGTTGTGAGTGAGAAGACAGGAATACGCTGGACAGATAAGAAGACTCTAGATCTGGATTCCACGCGTTGATGATTTATGTTTAATGTCACTCACACGAACTCGAAAACCTAAACGCCAAAACCAACAAACTGGCAGACGAGGTCTGTAGCGAAGACAGGATTTCAGGTGAACACCGAAAAGACGGAGGTGAGGAAGATAACCAACAAACAGCAACAGCAACAACAACAATCACCACCTATCACCATCAAAGGGAGATATTTAACAGAGGTTACCTCCTTCACTTATCTAGGAAGCATCGTTTCAACCACAGGCAGTCAGAACGGAAAAAGATGTCAAAGTCAGGGTCGTAAAGGTCAGATACGCCCTCATCAATCTGAAACCAGTTTGGAAATCTTCTGCACTCCGCCTCAGCATAAAGAACAAGATTCGGATTTTCAACACAAATATGAAGTCTGTCCCTCTATACGGGGGTTAGAAACTTGGCAGGCGCATCACGAAAAGCATTTCCAACAGCTTGTTGCACTTTTATCAACAGCTTCCCACTTCTCTGGCTGGGTCCATACTGAAGATCAAACGGCCATCCGGCCGGCCAGAAAGAATAAGTAACAAGAAACTCTGGCAACCAACCAAGCAAGAGCCGATCACACTATAAATAGGCAGGTAAAAATGAAGATGGATCGGGCATACGTTGAAGAAACCGTCGAATGAAATCGCGCGCCATACCATCGTTCGAGTGGAACCCGAATGAGAAACGACGAGTGAGCCGTCAGTGCGAGGGTGACATGGAGGAGATCGTGTGAGATGAGAGATCATGGGCAATCGTACACCCAGCTGAAGAAGACAGTAAGGAGTAGAACAAAGTGGAGATGTAATCCAAGGGAATAATAATCACAATCATCACATCGAAATTACTCCCACCTGAGCTACAAATTTTTGCTGTTACTTCATCATAAATAATTGCAAATCTCTTGCAAGTTCAAAATAGCTTACTCCCAACTGTTAAATATTCATCAAATCGATGATAAAGTACTCCATACAAGTGTTTTTAAGACTTTCAACATTTAATAATTTGTCGTAACACAAAAAATTGTATTTATTGGTCGAAAACATCGGAAATTCAATAAATAAAAATCAAGTATTAATTGTACAGGAATTTGATTAGTCTCGTGAACGACGATGTAGTGTCACAGTTAGAGAAGCAATTAAACACCAGAGAGTAGTGTGGACAGCGGTTTCCTCTTAGTTTGGGATTCTTCTGTAGTACGCGATGCCTGTGAACATCCCCCGCCCCACACCAGGGATCGAAACTTGGATATTTCAGTCATACAAGGCGAGCTTGTTGGCCACTTAACCACAACCACCACCACACTAGCGGTTGGTTGCGCTAAACATCGCAAATCGGCAGAAGTTAGAATTCCTCGACTATTGGATTCCGCATCTTAATTGCCATGAATGGTTGGTTAACCAGCTCGTGCTCCTGTATTCTATCCTTGGTGGGGTTATAGATACGTGCGTGCCACTGAAGAGTCCGAGATTGGAAAGAAAGGGTTGCCCAGTATTCCTTGCTTTTCACAACGTTTCTCTAACTGATATTAATCCGCAATTAAATTCAGAATAAAAACCAGCTATTTCTTTTTTTTTTCTGTATTAAACTTAATCATGTGTATAGTTTTATTTTTACTTTATGTATCACGTTTTAGAAATAGTCAGTCTGTGTGACTATTTAAAATCACGCATGAATATGTTCTCTGCGCTTTTCCATATTAGATAAGTTTAGTTTATTTCATGAGACAGTGATGACGCAGTATTACAATGTTTCAAGCATAAATTATTGTCACTCATAATCACATCTATTTTAGTCACACGATTTCACAATTTGTCATGCATATATATATTTTCTCTCTCCAACTTCCCCATTTTGTTTGTTGCTACTTTCTATATCTCCCGTCTAGGCATTACGTCATACCCAAATGTACGTGTGCGGTGTTGAATCAATTCAACAGTAACAACAACAAGAAAAAACTGTTTAAGATAAGATGAAACAATAAATGTATACGCATGGTTCATAGGCTTAACTGCCTAGCTTTCATCAACCGATGAGTCACCTCCCCCGGGGGTTTGATTCTCATTCCATTTTTACTTCAATTAGGGGGGCAACTTGGTGGCAGCATCATCATCATCCGCTCACACATACATACAAAACGACTGTGGTTCATAATCTCTCTTACACAGAAAATCTGTTCCATGTACCACTTCTCATTCACTATTTGGGATCTATTATATATCCATTAAACCATCACGTTTTCCCATGTTACTGTTGTTTCTGCTGTCCATTTCTACTCATTATAGTTCTTTCGAATGTCTTTTCTCTACCTTTTTGTGTTGTGGCAACTTACTTGAATTGGTGTGCACTTCTGTGCGAACTTCCGTTGTCGATATTGGATGGTTGAAGGTGATCGGCAGAAAGCTTTACTACTTGACCTAGGTTTCGTGTTTGTTGGCACTCACCAGTCAGCAAGGCGTATCTACAATCTTGAAAGAACTCGTGTCCCTCCTCCTGAGATTCGAACCCGCGTCACCCAATACTGCAGTTAGAGACGTTACTATCGAGCTATATGGGCTAGCTCGCGATTGACCTCCTCCAGGACTGTAGCACTGGGTGACACGGGTTCGAATCTCGCAAGGAGGGACATGAGTTCCTTCAAGATTACCGATACGCTTTACTGACTGGTAAGTGCAAACTAGCACGACGAAATCTAAGTGTTAAGAGAGGCTTTCGGCCGATTACCTCCAACTATCTAATATCAACAATTTAAAGTGCACTGGGTCCTCAGGACGGTTGAAATCAATGAAGGCTGGAGACAATCGGTGATATGGCTCAAAGTGATCGTTCTCAGTGGCTGGCTGGCTGGTGCAGATGCATCCACTCCTTGTGACTTATAATACCCAATGAAACTATGTTGTTCTTCGATATTACTATTCATTTGGCCTCACATCTCTGTTTACTGTCTCTGTTTTGCATTTCTTTTTAATTTCTTCTCTTGCCTTGTGTGCTACATGAAGGGAGAGTGTAGCGACTTGAAGAACTGCTGCACATCAGTGCAAAGTTCTATGCTGAAACCCGGTCAGTCAGTCAGATGTCCCCGGTACCCACCCGATTTTCAACTTCTCTTCCAACCATATTATTGTTACAAATAATAATCCGATAGACGTGTGTGTGTATGCGTACATGCATACAGGAAAAGACATACAGTGTTACTACTACTAATGACTGCATAATAAAAACAACCAGTTTAAACAAACACAAACGATTACGTATTGTTTACTTAGATTAGTAAACTTAAACAGAGAGAGCGTGAGAGAGAAAGAGAGTAAACAAACAACTTGGAGAACAAATATCATTATACTACCACCAATACTTGAATTGATTGACATATCAAGAGAGGCTATGAAAAAAAGTGACTCTATGCCTCAGCTTAATAATAATTGAATCTAATTAAATTAATATCGTAAGGTCTGACTGTTGAAAATAAATTGTAGTGAAAGTTTTCAGTAGTTAATTAACCAATATATACTATATTTGGATGGTTTCTTTTACCTGTACATGAGTCTAATGAGTAGTACATGCTCTGGGTTCACCAGTCTCCTCAATAGTCGCTGACCTAATCATGAATAGATTCGAAAATAACATATTTTCAAGCATACTCACTCCTAAAATATGGTTAAGATATGTAGATGATACTTTTGTAGTGCTAAAACCAGATCTACACAGTTCATTCCTGCAGAAAATAAACTGTGCATCTCCCAGAATCCAGTTTACTTCGGAAGCAGAATCAGATGTCGGTGAACTACCATTTCTAGACTGCCTAGTTAAGAGGAGGCAGAAAACCCACTCCAATAAATATTTAGACTTCAAATCATCACACCCAATCAACGCAAAAGTATCAGTTGTTTCAAGTCTTCTTAGACGAACACACTCTCTGATAACGGATGAGAAAGAAAAAGAAGAAATATCAAACATTACTGAAACTCTCAAGATAAGTAACTACCCAAGGAACTTCATCAACAAAATCAAAACAGACATCAAGTATGGCCGAAAACGCATTCCGAAAACGTGGACATCAATAGTCGTCATTCCATATAGAGCAGAGATATCAAACGATATCAGAAGAGTACTCAATTAGCTCGATATCAGAGTTTTCTTCAAAACATCAGATACACTTCAAAGCAACCTTGTCCATATAAATGACCAAATCCCTAAAGATTCTCTATCTAATTGTGTCTATAAAATAAAATGCTTGGAATATGATGCGATATACATCGGACAAACATCGTCAGAGAGAAATCAAAATTAGGGAAAATGAACACCGTAGAGCATCTCTTCGACCACCGAGAAATCCAGTTGAACTAGAAAAGCTTGAAAGTTCATCAGCCATAGGTCTACATGCTACGCTATAGAATCAGGCCACAAAATTGATTTCGACAATATTGAAATCATCAACACAAAGAACGTCTAACATCATCAGAAGCACTTCATATAAGGTGGAATCCAAATTGTCTGAATAGGAATGACGGATTAAAACAGAATCTGACCTGGTTACAAAACCTCCCTCCCCTCCCCCATGAAGTGACAAATCAACACGAATGCGATTGATAAGCAAGTTCACAATGTAAACACACACTGCCTTTATAATGTTACACACTGATCAAATCCAACAATCTACACCTGGTTTTGTTATCTTCACCAATTGACCAACTTGACAACGAAAATGACCTCAGACTGACGAACGATGATCAAGTTAGTAAACTTTATTTTGATATCATAACAGACATACTTTTACCTTTGTTATTTGGGTTAGTGATCTTCATTGCTATTTTTACTTTCAATATGTCCTCCTTTTAACTTGACCTAACTTGTCTATTTTCTCACCTCTTAACTCTTTGTCATACATATATGTGCTGAGATTTCGTAAATTCCGGTTTAATAATACTTATATAAAGCTATTAGCAGCAGCATTAAATAGCGAGACGTCAGTAAATACAACAATATCGTTTTGTTTTTCATTCATTGGGAAATACAAAAACCTTTTATAATAATGTAATAATTTTAATAACGAGCTGACATTAGTTAGAGAACCACTGGAAAACCCGGTCCTAGTTTGAACTCTTCATCAGTACGCATCTAACAGAGCTTGAATCCAGGACCTTCCGATTCTTGAACTGATGTCAGCTCGTTACCCATCATCCTGTAATCAATCAATTCTCTGTAATCTAATACTTGACAATTAATCTGATGATGCTCAGTAGTCACTGGTTCTATACAGGAAGTACCTGGGGTTCTAGTGAGAAATCGTAAACTGCGGGGTTGTCCATCAAGTTGGACAAGAGGATAGTTACTCGCCCGTGAAATCAGCTGTCAGTTTCGCCACAAACATATCATGAATCAGCAGAAGTTGGAATTCATGGATAGCAATTGGGCAAAGTCCCAGTGGTTAAATAGTGTACGAGTTCGCCTCGTAGCTGGTAACTCCTGGGTTAGCAACCCGATGGGTGCGTGCCACTGAAGAGTCCCAGACTAGGACGAAACGACCATCCAGTACTCACAGGTTTTCCAACGGTTCTCTAACTGACGTCACCTCGTTGTCAATCCTGTAACCAATCAAATCCCTGAGAACCAACCCTTGACAATTAATAATTTTGAAACAAAATATCATTGATAAATATAAGCAGAGTTAAGTACAGTCATCAGAGTTGGTTTTCAAGGGTAGAAAGTTAGTTTGTAGGGACTTGATCCATCTCAGTTTTGACCATGGATTGATATATCAGTCAGATTCCTTTGATGTGGCTGAATGGTCAACCGACTCTCTTCGTAACCTGAAAGTAGTACCTGGGGCTTGATCACCAATGGCGGGGGGGGGGTCATGAGTGCGTACTCCTGAAGTACCAAACTAGGATGGAACAACTACCACCCAGTACTCCCCCTAGTGTTCAGCGGTTCTCTAACTGAGATCAGTTCGTGATCATTCAAATGCCTGCACACCAACTTTTTAAAACTGTCTTTACCAAACTACAACTCGATGAAGATTTAAATTATGAAGTTCACGTCTCACAGCCTTCGGTAAGTGCATCGTCTTTCTAACAATCTCGCCGGCATTTTCTCTAAGAGTGTCTACGATTAAAATAACAAAGTTTTTACAAGATTACCTACAGTTGTGGGGATATATATTTCAAAAGCTTTGTTTATTGAATCAACTGCAAATACATGTATTAGGAATGATTCAACACCTGTCCCAGATATCTGGAAAATTCTACTACCACAACGACGACAAATAGGAGAGAACAAAGAAAACTATAAAACTCAAGTGTCAAAGTCGTGTGATTACAACTGATATAATTATGAACGATAAATTTTGTTCAAAACGTCATCCAGTAAATAATACTATTTCACTGTGTGATACATCTAATAAACAAACTAATATAGATTTCAACTTTTTTCTACACCTTGCTTAATCTATCAAAATTACTCGTTACTGACATATACTCTTCTCACATATATCTATGTTAGTTGTTGAAGGGAGGTTGTTATAGAACCCCGCTAAATGATATCTAACACATCGCAGTAACTGTTCTTGTAAGTTTTCAGTTGAATTCATAGTATGCCAAAGACCTTGTCCGTCATCCTTGCCCCCATAAGAGACCTGGTGCAACAGAAGGCGGATAGACTTAGGTCTTCTTCTAGTAATGCCTTCATGTCGCATTCACTCATTCATAGTCTTTCTCTGCAAGGTCCTAAGTCCTAAGTCACCAACTTCACACGGAGGCTGCAGTGTCCTTCAATAAAAGTGAATGCAAACGTCTGATCTACACACCTAGGGGGGGGGGGGGTGGCTGAAAAACCCTTACTCCAAGATCCGAAAGGCGTATGAACCTGTTCCGGTTACCAACAACCATGGAAACGTAGCTCCTGACACCTTATGGATCAGAATTCAAGTCAAAGACTGGTTGGTTTGGTTGCTGGGGGGGGGAGTTGGCCCCTCAAGACAACACCACCTGATCCACTCACGGCAATATCCTGGAGTCCTCGCTCGAACTATGAGATTTTGTGTGACGCATCTCTTGGCGCTTACAATAATATACCACTGTTTGTGTTTTAATAGATAAAAATCAAATCCTGACCATTATTAAAAATGATGAAGCCTTTTAGGAATTATAATTAATCAATTAAATATATATATACATATGAACAACTAAATACACAACTTACATGAATAAGCAATAAACATAATGGAGAATTATTTTATTATTGTTAGTGCTGTTTTGTTTGTTTTTTGTTGTAACTATTGTTTTCTTTTTAATATTTCATTCATGTGTACAAGTTTATAAATCAGAGTGATTTGGTCAAATTCTGTTGACAGCAAACAAGAGACAGAGAGAGAGAACATTGATTTGTATTTTGGTAAAAAGACAATCTCCGCAACATTAGTCATGCGCTACAGTGCCACGTATTCCACCGACAAGTCGTTGCTACATGTTGAAATAGGGAAAGAAAGAAAGAATCAAAAGGCATGACAACAATCAGAATAACAAAAAATAATTATAATGGTACAAAAATAATTCAATTAAAAAATAACTATGCTTATTGTAATATATATATATATATATATATATATATATATATACATATATATATATATATACATATATACTATTCCCTTACTTTCCCAGTGGAAAACATGGCTTCGACCTAGAGGCTTGAAGTTTCTGTAGCAGTGGTGATTATTTTTGCAGGATGGGGTTGGTAGTCTCATGCCCAACCTTCCCTCTCTACCAGTCCTACTACTGACTTAGCGAGGTAAAGTAGTGCGTCGGCCGGGGATCGAACCGCGGACCACCTGCGTGGTCGGTGTGCACTCTACAGCTGTGCCACCGACGCACCTATATATATATATATATATATATATATATATATATAACTGACTGGTTTCAACGTAGAACTTTACACCGATGTGCAGCAGTTCAAGTCGCCACACTCCCTTCATGTAGCACACAAGGCAAGAGAAGAAAGCAAAAAGAAATGCAAAACAGAGACAGTAAACAGAGATATGAGGCAAAAGGAATAGTGATATCGAAAAACAATGTAGTTTAATTGGGTATCATAGGTCACAAGGAGTGGGTGCATCTGCACCAGCCAACCATTGAGAACAATCATTTTGAGCCATATCACCAATTATCTCCAGCCTTCATTCGTTTTTACCGTTTTGAGGACCCCAACCAGTCCACACCTTCCTACGTGGCTTAAACTAACTGTTGTGGATATCATTGACTTATAAACCATGTTTTGGCTTGACCACCACTGGCTCTTTTACAACCTGATCCCTCAGTAATGTCAGCTAACACTGCCCATTGTCGAGGAAGGCGATGGCTAGGTAGGTATGCGTAACACATATCCTAACCATCTCAATCGATGTAATTTCACATCCTTGTCGACTGATTTCCCCTCCTTACCTAGCACTCGACGCCTAACCTCAGTATTGCTCACCTTAGTATACCACTTCACATGGGAGATAGAACGCAGGCACCTATGATCGAAGACAGCTAATCTTTTCATGTCTTCCACTCTCAATGGCCAGGTCTCACAGCCATAAAGGAAGACGGAGCTGACTGCTGAGCAGTACATCCGCCCTTTGGTCGATAGCCAGCCGAATATCACGTCTACGCCACAGACGGTGTAAGCTGGCGTATGCGAAACGAGCCTTCTGTATCCGTGATGGGATTTAGTCAGCATTCAACCCGTTGGCGCTGGCTGGTGCAATTTCCTAAATAAAGTGAACTGGTCAACGCGCTCCACCAACCACTTCACTCCCTATTTCTAATCTAGGAATGAGTCAATGTAGTCCAATCCTTTAGCATTATCTTCCATTTGGTGGAAGTGAATCGCACGCCAAACATTCGAAGACTGCTGCTCAGCTCAAGGTGTTCAGAAGACTGCTCAGTTTTGTCAGCGCCTTCACCCGACCTAGGTCTATATCATCAGTATATTATAAGTCAACGAGATTATTCCCTGGTAATAGGTCAATCGCTGAGTCTCTGAAGTTAGCAGTTAGGTTTAATTCCATTAGTACATGTATGATGAAACTTAATAGAAATGTGGATAGTGGACTGGCATCTCTGACGGACACCACAAGTTATCACCAGTTCAGAAAGTAACTCGCCGTAGGCTCTTACCTGGCTGCATGAGTGGCTTGATCAGTGCAATGCTTTTTTTCGGCATTCTAGTCACAGCCAAACGTCGCCACAAAAGCTCTTGGTCGACAGAATCGGATGCCGCCTTTAGGTCTAGAAACATAACGATTGTTGGACGCCGGTAAGTATGTCTATGTTCCGGAATCTGTCGAAGGGTGAAGATATAATCAATACACCCTCTTCCTGGTCTAAAGCCTGCCTGGTTCTTTCCTGTTTGTTCCTCCCTAGGACTGCTTAGTCTACGCATTATTATCGAGCCCAGGACTTTAGATACCATATTAGTCAAGCTAATCCCCTTGTGATTATCACAGGAAGAATTATATCCCTTCTTGTATATCGGGATAATCAATGACCTACACTAGCGCGACGGGACTTCCTCTGATTCACAGACACTGCCTAATACCTTATATATATATATATATATATATATATATATATATATATATATATGATATCAATTCGTGGTTAAACTCGTAAAAACAAATCTTATCCTTACAAACCAACTCTTGGAAATCAGTGATGTCCTTTTAACTTGACCTAATTCTATTTTCTCACCTTTCAACTCTTTATTAATTTCATATTTATATTCCTGTGGCAAGTCCATGTGTGATAACATTGTTCGAAATGTGTAGCGGAAATGCATTACACGATTCAGATAAATTACATCTTCTTGGTGCTTTATCTAACTCGAAGATTTACAGGCGAAAATCAACAGATTGGCAGAAAAAGCAGCGAAGACAGCAACCTCGGGTGCACACAGAGAAGACACAGGTAGTGAAGGTATCTAACCAACAATAACAACAAACATCAATCACCATCAATGGAATTTGCTTGTCTCACTTATCTAGGTAGCATTATTTCAAATACAGACAGAAATCACATATGAGGATGTCAAGGCCAGTCATGATTAGATCGGAAAAGCAAGACAGACCTTTATTAGTCTGAAAACAAATGCCGAAATCTGCTGTACTCAACATACGGAACAAGATTCAGATTTTAAACACTCATATCAAGTCAGTCCTTCCTACTGTATAGTTCGGAGACTTAGCGCGTCAAGAGAAGCATTACCAACAGCCTACTGCAGACTCTTATCAACAGTTGCCTTCACTGGCTCCATACTGAAGACTAGCCAGACTGCCAGAAAGGATTAACAACAAGAAACTTTGATAACGAACCAATCAACAACTTATCGCCCAGAAATATGGAGAATGCAATGGAAATGGATTGGACATACGCTGAGGAGGAGATTGTTGAATGATACCAAGCGCCAGACACCACAGTGAAACACGAATGTGGAACGACAAGATTTTGGCAGTGGTGGTCCTAAGGTGGCATGAAGGATATTGTGTGAAAAGGAAATGAAAGCCTACAATCATTCCTAGAGCCAGTTGAAAAACACTACAGAGAAGAGAGCAAAGTGGAGATGTGCTGCTGAAACCCTATGTTCCATCCGCAGCCCAAAGGAATAATACTCCAGTAACCTTATTTACTCATTGTGTAAGATTGGCTTTGACTGCGAATAGATAATCTGAATTATTCATTTCTACGATAAAGCGGTCAGATTTAACATTCACTGACAAAACTAGGATGTGAAATACCATCTAGTACTCTGTGATTTTTAGTGATTGACGAAGTGATATCTGTTCATGAAATGAAATCCCTACAAACCGACACTTAAGCACTAATCTACAGCTTATTAGTGACTGACAAATTGTAAAGTCCATTGTGACTGATGAGCTACACGAAGGCCGATTATCAGGAGAAATACCATTAGACAATAATGGGGCTATATCATGAATCGAGAGAATTTAGTTTGGTATTCGGGGATTAGTGGATTTAAACTCTGTCTTAGTGGTGAACGTGCTCATTGCTGACGAGTCCCAAACCGGGACAAAACAGTTGGCCAGTGATTCCTGGCTTTCAATAGTAGTTTTTCTTTTAACTGCTTTCAGTTTGTGACAGTGTACCTTAAAATCAATTATATCCCTGTAAACTTAACAAATAAATTAATATTTAATAGGAAGGAAAAAAACATAAAATGTGTATTCCATGTGCAATTAACTTTATAGCCTTAATAATCTATCGTTTCAAATACATGTTATATTCCCTAGATTACAATATCCATATTTTTGGTCTATCAAATTACCTTGAAGTAGTACTAACGTGCATTAGCAGAGCAGAACTAAAAGAGATATAATCTGTGGTATATTCCTTAATAAAATATGTTCCCATTTTAAACCAGAGTCCGACTAAACTGTGGAGCCTGGGAGAGAGTTAGTTAGCTAGTACAACAATAACTCATAACATGAAATATTATTCTCAGGTATCGGTTATTGTAGGGAATTTTGTTTGATTGGTTGAAGGAATTCATCATGAGCTGGCATCAGTTAGAGAACCATTAGAAAACCAACTGGGAGTACTGGATAGATGTTTCGTCCTAGTTTGGAACTCTTCATCAGGACCCACCCACCGACAGGGTTCGAACCCAACCAATTAAACAAAATCCCCTACAAAACCAATACCTGAAAATTAATCTGATGCTCCCTATAGACTGGTCCCACTCAGGCAGTTAACCTGGGGTTCTAGTGGGAAGCCGTAACCAGTAGGGTGCAGTAGGTTGAAGGTGAGGCAGTAACTCATCGAAGAAGACATTGTTAAGTGGTCGCGCTATGTTATGAATTGGCAGAAGTTGGAATTCATGGACTGGTCATTGGATCGGGTCCCAGTGGCTTAATGGTCTATGAGATCGCCTTGTAACCAGAAGGTTCTGGGTTCGAACCCTGGAGGTGGGTGCGAACTGCTGCCAGCTCATAATGAAGTCCTGCAACATCAAATATTACTCGATGCACCCAGGAAATAAAGAATACTTGTACTAAGTGGAAGTAAGGACTGTACATACACTTCTCCTTTGTACACAAACATCTGGCTTGAATTCATGAATGGTCAAGGTTTCCACGGTCTTTAAAAGTTTGGAAGGAAGAAAACGCGGGAAGTTAACACGAATTCAATAGATAATCTTAAAATTATGATCGGGTTGGTAGAGTGACGAAAATCGACAAAGTGTTCGAGAATAGAGCTTCTTATGCCCTTCTTCTCTCCTTTGTAAGACCAAGTTAGGATGTGCGGTCGTATTCGTGTAGGAGGTATTCTCTGGGCACGGATGATGCACTTTGCTCCATAACAGCAAGTGAACAGATAGATGCAAATAGAGGAGACCAGAAATGTGAGCTTATCTTTTACAGAGACAGAGAACAACTTACAGCTGGCGAAGATCATTTGGCGTTTAGCTGCAAAGCAAGACTATTTCTGAGCAAACCTGAAGCTTGATCATCACCTTTCAATTCTAAATTCATGATGAACTGAGTTAGTGACCTAATTCGAATTGTTTATCTAGCGTTCTTTTTTTTTTCTTTTTCAATAACATAACATAATAACTCCCATTGTAACATTTCCTTATTTCTACCCTGGGCGGGATAAATAAATTTGTTGATATTTTTGTTTTGATTATTTGATCTATGTACCTTTCCCATCATTATTACGATTGTTAGGATTTTTGTTTTTACTCTGAACAGTTTCCGGGATTGTTTCACTTGTCCCATTATGATTATTATTTGAAATCAATATACATATATTTTCTTTTGGGGCAATATTAAAATCTATCTTACCAAACTTCTCAAAATGTTACGCACAGTTTTATTTGCCTACTAATCCTATTAGTGCATCGGTGGCAAAACGGTTAGGACGCTCGCCGACCACGCACATGGTCCGGGGTTCGATCCCCGGCCGACGCACTCCTTTACCTCACTACACTAGAAATAAAAGCTGGTGAAGAGTAAAGGTTGGGCATGAGGCTAGAAACCCCATCCTGTAAAAATAAACACTGCTACAGAAACTTCAAGCCATTAGCTTGAAGCCCTATGTTCCACTGGGAACGTAAAGGAATAAAAAACAAATCCTATTAGTTTTACATCCCTTTCTCAAGATCTATGCATTCTATGGACCATTTTATATAACATGACGTTATTTGTTTTATCGCATTTCACATTATTGCTTTAAGTATTCACACTATTTGTTTAAATTTCCCCCAAGGGATATAGTTTCTTAGGAAATCATAAATATATACGATTGTACAGAATAATAATTGACTGACTGGTTTCAGCATAGAACTTTGCACTGATGTTCAGCAGTTCCAGTTGCTACTCTCCCTCCATGTAGCACACACAAAGCAAGAGAAGAGAGTAAAGAGAGATAACAAACAGAAGTGTGAGTGAGGGAAAAAGAATAGTAATATGGAAGAATAATATAGTTTTATTGGATATGGCAAATCCCAAAGAGTGAACGTATATCCACGCCACTGAGAACGATGATTTTGACCCGAGCAGTCTACACCTCCCTACGTGGTTTAAACTAGATATTATGAATTTCATTGACTGAAGAAGCCATATTTTGGTTTGACCATCATTGGCTCTTTTCCAAACTGATCGCTCAGTAATGTCAGTAATGCCTACAACTATCTAATATCATCAAATCAATGTGCACCGTGATGGCGAGCTACCTAGAATGGTGGCCAAATTGCAAACCTGACTGACTGATAGAATTCAGTCTGCACCAAACAAAGGACTAGACACATTACACACTAATTACTAGTGGCCAATCAAACTACCCACTACAGTCCTACAGGAGGTCAGTCGCGAGTTAACCCGAATAGCTCAGTGGTAACGTCTCTGACTGGGTGACGCGGGTTCGAATCTCAGAAGGGACATGAGTTCCTTCAAGGTTGCAGATACGCCTTGCTGACTGGTGCGTGCCAACTAGCACGAAACCTAGGTCAAGCAAGGCTGGCTTCCTGCCGATTGCCTCCAACTATCTAATGTCAGCTAACATTGCCCATTGTCGAGGAAGGCGATGGCTAGGCAGGTATGAGTAGCATATGTCCTAACTACTGGAATCTATGTAGCCTCATAACTTCATTGGTTGATTTCTTCTCTTTACCTAGCACTCGACGTCTAACCTCAATATTACTCACTCTATTATACCCACCACCTAACATGGGAGACAGAACGTAGACACCTATTATCAGCTTCATAATAAATTCTTTGAAAAGAGTCTCTTCGCTGAATATGTACTGTGTATTCTTAATGTGTGCGTCGGTGGTATAGCGGTTAGGACGCTTGCCGACCATGCACATGGTCCGGGGTTCGATCCCCGGCCGACGCACTCCTTTACCTCTCTAAGCCAGAAATAATGCTGGTCAAGAGGAAAGATTGGACATGAGGCTAGCAACCCCATCCTGTAAAATAAACACTGCTACAGAAACTTCGAGCCACTAGCTTGAAGCCCTATGTTCCACTAGGGAACGTGAAGGAAAAATAAAAATTCTTAATGTGCCAGTTGAAATTATTCAGTTGCATGACAAATTATCAGAAAAAAGTATAACCCAGGCTAACCTGATCCAATTCTTTCTTGGTTTTCTCCTCAACATCTCGAATATCATCCATAGAAAGTCCATACCATTTATCTAACCAACAGAAAACTTGACGATTGAAATTAAGAAAGATTCGTCTTTCTTGCTACATACAAAAAAAAGTTTAATAAATGCAGAATTAAAACTATATAGTCAGCACATACATTCTGTATTAGAGTTTCCACTCGGCCTTGTATACCCCACCATTTAAATTCACATGTTACCAATTTGTAAGCACACATGATTGGTAGATCTGTATTCTAAGCAAATTTATTTAAAATGATACAATTTGAATAAACATTAAACTAACTTCCCACCATTTAGGACCAACTAGTGGACCTCGACCAGTCTTGACTGATTGATATATTCTAGGATCACAGGATGGATCATAATCGGATGCAGTGTACAGTTCATCATTTGCTATATCAATATAGATAACTTCACGTTGAGCTAAAAGTTTCGGTGGGAGATTATGAATCTGAATAAACACTTTCATAAATTTTTTTAAAAACATTTATGACTTACATTTTCTATATCAACTTTATCCTGTACATGCATAGACTCAATCATTAAAGTGAAACTTTCTTGCATATATTTAGGATTCTGCAAAATAAACCACTTGAAAGGGAATTTTGTTACCTACCTGTAAAACTGTACGACAATAAGGGAAAGCATTCCATGCTTTTTCATCAACTTCTAGTGATCCTTTAGGCGCAAGAAGACGTACATAACCAGGAACTTTTCTGGCTAGATAAAAGCGTTTATGCGTATACTGTCCAGTGAAGTATTCTTTGCCATTTGCAACTAAAGGTGATTCCGGTGGGTTGACTTCACTGTTAAATGGTTCATTGACTAAGACTTCTATGCCTTCACCACCGCCAGTTTCATTTTTCGACGCTTCTGCAACTGCCCATAACTGACCAACATGATATTCATCAACAGTCAGGGGTAGAATGATACGACTATGTGTCGAAGAGAAAAGAAGTCGAAAAAATAACTACAATTATACAATTAAACTACAAATGTCTGTCTTTAGGAAAAACGTAACACCTAGTTATGAGCATTAACTACAAATAAATATAAACATATAAATATGTATATATATAAATATAATAATCTAGTGGGAAGCCGTGACCAGTAGGGTACAGCAGATTGAAGATGAGGCAGTAACTCATCGAAGACATTGCGAAATGGTCGTGAATTGGCAGAAGTTAGAATTCATTGGCTATTGGATCAGGTCCCAGTGGATCAATGGTCAACGAGATCGCTAGCCTTGTAACCAGAAGGTCCTGGGCTCGAACCCCGGTGGGTGCATGCTGATGAAGAGTCCCAAACTAGGACGCAAAAGCTGTCCAGTACTTCCAGGGTTTCCAGTGGTGATGAAATGCTCCATCCAATCAAATATAAACATAGTCGGATGAGATAGATTTCTGTTTAGGCCAAACAAATAGAACAAGGTTTTGAAGTGAAGGCAGTGACTCGGATGGATTTGCTGACAGTCAGTTAAATTTGCGCTTTTAGGATAGAATTAGGAGAAAGAAATGTTGAATCGATGACTACTAACCCTTTTCAAAGATTAGGTAACTAAATAGTTCGACAGACAACAAAATATGATTCGAAAAAGACAGCAGTCGTCTTTGACTGTAAGTTGGCAAATGCTACACGAGGCTTTTGTATTCATGCTGGGATTTTGTCGGGGAATCAGAGCACTAGGGTTGATGCAACTTCCTAAAGAGCTGCAGTAGTCAACACGCTCAATCACTTCGCTTCCTATCCTTAAAACAGGAGTCAGTGTAGTCCAGTCGTGCGACATCATCTCACATTTGACAGGGTGGAATCGAATGCCTGAAATCTTAAGATTTCTCCCCCAATATATTCAGAAGACTCTGCATTCTGTCAGCGTAATTACCTAGAAGGATATTATCGTACAGACTATAAATCGACTAGACTTTTCCAGGATAACAGGGCAATCTCTAAGTTGTTAAAGTCAGTTAGGGTCAATCCTTTTAGTACATTTATGTTGAGATGAAACAGACATCAGAACAGTAGGCATCCATGACGAACGCCTGCAGATGTCATCACCTCAGATGACAACTCTCCATAAACTCCTACACGGCTGTATGATTTCTACATATATTTTCTCGGCACTTTCGTCATGGCCAAACAATGCTACACTATCCCCTGGTTGACACAGTGATATGCTACCAACAGGTGTAGAAATATGGCAAGTGTCGGACACCAGTGAGCATCCCTGTCCCAGAATCTGCCAAAGCGTCCAGATAATACTAATATACTCCTTTCCTGGTCTAAAGCGTGACTAACTTCTTCGGGTTTCTTCTCGCGAGCACAACTCATTCAACGCATGACTGCTGAAACTAGAACTTTAGACAATATATTAATCAGGATCATCCGCCTATGATTATCACAGCAAGACTTGTCTCTCTTAGTATAAACTAGGGGGGTGACATACTAGTATATAGTTTAACTAAGGTACTAGGTAACGTCTGGGAATCAGAGACGGTTCCATCAGACTGGGGTAAGTCACTTATTATACCAGTATTCAAGAAGGGAGATAAGTCCTCATGTGATAATCATAGAGGAATCAGCCTAACGAACAGTCTCTAAAATCCTAGGCTCAGTAATCATGAACAGACTAAGCCGAACTCGGGAGGAACAAACGAGGGAAAATCAAGCGGGCTTTAGGCCAGGTAGAGGGTGCATAGATCATATCTTCACTCTCCGACAGATCCTAGAACATAGGCACACTTTTAGGCGTCCAACAATTGCCATATTTCTTGACTTGAAGGTGGCCTTCGATTCCGTGGATCGAGAGGTTCTATGGCAATGTTTGACTATGAAGGGAGTGCCAAGAAAGTACATTGCACTAATCAAGGCACTCTACTCAAACTCACGTAGCTGTGTAAGGGCTTATGGGGAATTGTCATCTGAATTGATAACAACCAGTGGTGTCCGTCAAGGATGTCCACTTTCCTCTTTTCTGTTTAACTTCATCATAGATATGCTAATGGAAGTATCCTTAACTGAACTTAACGATTTAGGAATCGACTTGTTACCAGGGAATAGTCTTATAGACTTAGAATACGCAGACGACATAGTCCTGTTAGGGGAGGATGCTGACAAAATGCAGAGTCTTCTGAACACCTTGAGCAGCAATCTTCGTATGTTTGGCATGCGATTCGCCCCTGTGAAATGTAAGATGCTGCTACAGGACTGGACTACGTCAACTCCTAGCTTAGTGATAGGGAGTGAAGTGATAGAACATGTTGACCATTTCACCTATTTGGGAAGTTGCATCAGCACCAACGGATTGACTGGTGACGAAATCACAGCACGGATCCAGAAAGCTCGGGCTGCTTTCGCTAGCTTACACCGTCTCTGGCGTAGGCGTGACATCCGGCTGTCAACCAAGGGACGTGTATACTGCTCAGCAGTTCGCTCTGTCCTTCTCTATGGCGGTGAGACGTGGCCATTGAGAGCGGAAGACATGAAGAGACTGTCTGTTTTTGACCACAGATGTTTACGATCTCTTTCTCGCGTTAGGTGGTATAATAAGGTAAGTAATGTTGACGTTAGGCGTAGAGTGTTGGGCAAAGAGGGAAAATCAATCGAAGAGGCTATGAAGTTACATAGATTGAGATGGTTAGGCCACGTGCTGCGCATGCCTAACCATCGTCTCCCCCGACGGGCATTACTAGCTGATATAGATGCAGGTTGGAAAAGACTAAGTGGTGGCCAAACAAAAACATGGCCTCATCAATCCATGAAATCCCTGACAGTTAAACTGAGTCAGGTAGGGAGATGCAGACTTCCGGGTTGGGGCCCTCGGGACTCTAAGAATCAATGAAGGCTGCAGACAATAGGTGACATGGCTCAAAATCGTTGTCAATGGCGCAGATGTATTCAGTCTCTTTAACCTTCACATTCCTTTCTACCATTACTCATTCTGTTTCACTCTTATACTTATCTAAATTCTATTGATTCTCTTCTCTCATTTTCCTGTCTACCTTTGTGTGCTATTTGGAACGTGGCAACTCGAACTGCTGCACTTCGGTGCCAAGTTCTATGTTGAATCCAGCAGCAGCAGTATAAACTAGGATAATCAATGATTTACACCAGTCCAACGAAACTATCTCTGACTCCCAGTGATTACCTACTACATCAGTTAACCCAGATAACAGTTCGCCGCTGCCGTTTTTACACACCTCTGGAGGCATTCCATCAGATGCTGATGTTTTGCCTCGTTTCAGACTAGAGACATCGTCTGCAGCCTCCGTTATAGTCGGAGGACTCATGTTGGGTGCCGGGCGACTTGAACTCATCTGTAGACCAGTTAGATTGCTTCTCTAAGTGTTTCCACAAACGCTCCAGTCTCCTATCCTGAGATGCCACTTTTCCCGAGGACTATCCCGCCCATCATTTGTCTTTTACAACTTGTTTCCCCGACAATCCTAAAGTTATCTCATATTACGTATCGCCAAAGTCTTTTTTCATCTACCACTACTCACAGCTGTTACGAAGACTTTTAGCCTGTACTTGAACAGATTCCGTTCCCCATTATGTTTGGAGGCAGCCTGAACCAGTCTTTACATTTATCCGTTCGGATAAAGTAATAAAGCAGAAATCTATTGGTACTTCCAAATTTTTGGTTTAACCTTATCACTAGCCTTTAAAGGTGTTTCTACAACTGACTGGATATTATGTCACACTTCCTCAGGATGTCCTACTGTCAGTCTCAGATAGGCGTTTAGTTATTTTTTGCCTGAGTGGCGACTTAACTTCTCGTCAAGTTGGGGCATAGTTGGATCATTGCTACCTGTTTTCTAAATCCGTTCAATCGTACACATATAAATGCGCCGACTACGGTGTGGTCGGATTAGGGAACAAGGGGAGGAACATTCTAATTACGCAGAGCTTATATATATATATTTATATGCAGAGAAAGAAACTCAGTTACCTAAAACGCGTGGAGCCATACTTATTTTGCAGGTTCTGCTGACACTACCCAGTCAAAAATAAGTGAAGCGGGATTGTAACCCGGGACGCATTGGTCAAAGGCCAAATGTTGCAACCAGTGAGCCATATCACTGACAGACGCACACATAGTACAGATAAGCCTAAAAGATTGAGACTGATACTATTCACTTGCATATCTAGTTTTAATCTTAGCAACGAGATGTTTGGCATTAAGATTTAAGTACATTGTTTAACTGGCTAGTCACAGTACAATGAGAACTGACTACTTAAACTGAGGAACTATATGTGAACAAAAAGTTATTGGGTGCTTCAACGAAGTGAACCATTTTGCAAACCCAAGACTCGAAGTAATAAACGAATGTCAATCCATGCAGATAGGCTACACCTACAAACCATAGTACACATAATACAACAACCACTGAAGTATATCAAGGAACCATGCAAGTAGCTGTACGTACTATCAATTTTACAGCTTAGAAACTTAGAGCAGAATTCCAGCGAAAAGTCTGTGACGAGCTAATTAGAGCTAAAGTGAGGGTTAAATAAGACCTTAAAGCACATATCCATTGCAAAACGATAGCTACCAGAACCCGCTACTTTTAGTCATTAGAATTTCGGAAAGCATGGAAATTCAATGAAAAAGATGAATTGCAAGGTTTAAGTTAATGGATTACAGAATAATTTGCTTCATATTTTAGCCAGAGGCATCTAAGTCACTCAACTTTTTTCAGTCTGTTTCTTGTATCTGGCATAGAAAATGCGCTTTTTCGACAAATTAATCCGAACCTCGTAATCCCATGTCGACGACAGACATTAAAATCAGCACCTACAAATATGAAAGTAATATGCACCAAGCCGCATTAGTAATTGGAGGAAGACTTAGTATATGACACGATCACTGAAAACAATTCGATATCCCAATGGAAACTATACACTCACTCTCAATTCTCAAATAAAATATAAAACTATTCCAGTCTATCGAGCAGAAATGAATCTGAAGAGCAAATACTTATTATTACGTGCAGTGAAACACGATTACTGCTCGCAACCAACAAGCCAAAATTAAACCACCAAAGAAAAGTCAGTTTTTTGAAGTGCGATTGTTACAGACCGGTGCCGTTATGAATTATTTAGGGGGGGGGGCATGTAAGACTAACGGTTGGATTGCGTGAAATTTAAGGTGAAGTGCGAGAGAACTAGGTTAATAAGTCAAGATCCTATGTTTAAATCTGTCAGAAAAAGAAAGCATGGAACTAGTAATTTGTAAGAAAAACACCAAAGTGCAATGGTAAAAGATATTTGTTCATCATTCCACACGAAATTATGCATTACAAGCAACAGATGCTACTAACAGAAGGCCTATCAGAACATAAAACTGTTGCTTGCTAACACATGTCTCATTATCGTAAACTGTCCACTAAGAACAAAACGTATAACTAGTGCAACTATTGAATGAGCAGTCCTAGCTTAAGTGAATCATTTTTTTATAAAAGATATTGTGACTGTACTTACTTTTGTAGCTACTTAAGAGTAAGTGGACTCTGGAGGTGGTCAGTCGGCTTAAGCGTTCAAGTTCCGATTATTTTTCATTTACTTTGACCTGACGAAACGCGTATTAGGTTAAGTCTAATTTTTGAGACAGCTGACCATCTTTTTTACAAGAGACACTTGGTAGGAGTTGCATCTTGTGAAAGCGGGCACAAAAACCAAGCTAGTTCCTTTTCAAGTGAATCCAAGAAAACTAGTTCACCTGATTGAAAAAGAAATTTTCATGTAGCTATACAAGATACATAGCTATAGAATAATGCTTTTTAACTGAGAAGGATTCCGCTGAATTTGGAAAACTACGGACAGACTCTAAAGGCAATTAGTGAACAATGATAAAAGTAAATATTAGCTCTTACTGCATTAAGCACAGTAGTCTTTTTAGCAAAATAAGTTTAACCTGTAGCAGAGTACTTTAGACCATCCAAAAACACATAGTCCTGTTGGGACGACTTAATATAATGCTGTTGTGTGAAATTGTGAGTTTATCAGCCAGCTATCCATTATCGAGAGGGATATGTGAATGCTGCCATAGTGTATGACACAACAACTATCATCTTTAGTTCAGTCAAACCACATTGGAAAATTATGCAGAAACCGTGTTGAGACTTAGGATGACACTGTTAAACCATCCTGACATATGAGTACCTGCCATCCTAAGCAATGGCGGAACATCGGTAGCGGAAAATATTATGGGGGAAGTTTATTCAGACTTTGGTGGATTTCACGGGGGTTTAGAAAACAGCGTATTAACCAGCTGCAGTATAGAATGGGTATCGAAAATGCTGATATGAGTGACTGGCTGACTGGCTTCAACGTAGAACCTTGCACCGACGTGCAGCAGTTCGAGTCGCCACACTTCACCCAGCACACAAAGCGAGAAGAAAGTAAAAAGAAATGCAAAACAGAGACAGTAAACAGAGATATGAGGTAAAAAGATTAGTAATCTAGAAACACCATATAGTTTTATTGGATATTATAAGTCACAAGGAGTGGATGCATCTGCACCAGCCAGCCACTGAGAGCGATCACTTTGACCCATATCACCAATCGTCTCCAGCCTTCAGTGCTTTATACCGTTCCGAGGATACCAACTAGTCAACCAGTCTACACCTTCCTTTGTGGCTGGCTTAAACTAACTGTTGTGGATTTCATTGACTGATGCCATGTTTTGGTTTGACCACCACTGGCTCTTTTCCAACCTCACCAGTTCTATGTCAGCTAGCATTGCCCATTGTCGAGGAAGGTGATGGCTAGGCAGGTATGCGTAACACATGTCCTAACCTAGCCAACCTTTTCATGTCTTCCACTTCCAATGGCCAGGTCTCAGCCATAAAGGAGGAGGGAGTGGACTGCTGAGCAGTATACACGCCCTTTGGTCGACAGCCAGCCGGATATCATGTCTATGCCACAGACGGCGTAAACTGGCATATCCGTCACGAGATTTAGTCAGTGCTCAACCCGTTGGCGTTGGCTGATGCAATTTCCCAAATGAGTGAAGTGGTCAACACGCTCCACAAACCACTTCACACCCTACTTCTAAGATAGGAATGAGTCAATGTAGTCCAGTCCTGCAGCATCATCTTACATTTGACAGGAGCGAATTGCATGCCAAACATTCAAAGATTGCTGCTCAGTTTTGTCAGCGCCTTCACCTCATCTAGGAGGACTATATCATCTACATATTCTAAGTCAACGAGATTATTCACTGGTAACAAGTCAATCCATGAGCCTCTGAAGTCAGCAGTTATGGTTAATTCCTTTAGTACATCTACGATGAAATTGAATAGAAATGTGGATAATGGGCTGGTATCCCTGACGGACACCACTAGTTGTCACCAATTCAGATGACAAATAGTAATACGAATGAAAGTGGTGACAATGATACAGGTGACATGCCACGTTCCACTGAAATTTTGGCGTTGAAAATATTTGAGACTGATTCTGTGCGAGTCTTTAGAACGAGTGAAGGTCTCTACCAAAAAATTTAAGTAAAGGTTATGTCAAAAATGACTGACCAGGATAAGAAGTGAGAGTAGAATATGCTGATCATTTATTATATTTAACCAGAAAAGGTTCAGAATGTCACATTCTACCTGAGAGTTCTGTAAATCATAAAGAGCTTTTTGAGTGTTTTATTTAATAGGACTACTGATGAGTGGAATGCTAAAAAGTCACAAAGTAGATGTTGAGACAAATAACGACGAGATGTTTGCGTAGGTTAGTGCATGGTGAAAACACGCCATTTGAAAATTTCATTAGAAAGTCACATAATATCATAACATCCAGGTACAAAACTTGTAGGTTAGGAATTACATTCTAGCCTTACTGCGTCAACTTTCTCAAAAAAGCTACAAATACACTTAGATTCTACAGCTTCATAATATATATATATATCGTTATGCTAGCACCAGATGTCCATCCGGTCCTACCTACGCCTGGGTTATCCATAAATATGTAAACAGCTAGCAACCAACAGATGTCATCTACTAAGGCGACGAATTTGGGACAGTAAAAATGCAAACAAACAGGCATAAACTAGGATGCGCTGAAATTTCGATGGAAAAGCAATATCAGTATGCCACATATTCACCAAGACAGACCCGTCGTTATTTAACAATAAACCTTTCTCATCCACCTGCTGCTCATCAAATCAAGACTTCTGAAGACACGGCTTACGTAAAGAGAAAACAGATTCCCCCCGCCCCAGATGGACAGTAGCAATTACTGTTATGTATCAAGTAAATTCACTCGTAGTAAATAGACAGATCAAAAACCTCAATGCCGACCAGCAGGTTACTATTTCGAAGTTCATTCCATCAACACGAACTAAGTAATTTATTTGGTATCAGAACAGTCACACAATACGTGACTGTGACCAGTTTAACGCCCCATCCCTGACTTGAGTTTTATCATGTGACGGCTTAAAAGTTTCTTTACCACATAATCCTGCAAGTCTAGGGGAGTCGCGAGTAGTTAAAAAACTGTTAATTCGGTAAACAGGGAAGAATAGCTGAGTATGGGAAATGTTCCGACACAGAATGCATTGGGAACAAATCATCCTTTATAAAGCTTATCTTTTGTTCCCATGTACGAAGCTAGCATGTCACTGGAATCAAATTGTTCGAAAACAGTAGTGACTTCATAGCACGTCACTGTAAAACATCACAGAATGGATCACAGAATGCTCAGCACTTCAACGTACAACGCTTCCCACTGAAGCAACCTACAAAACCCGTAAGGTTGGGAAATACACAATACTCGTCTTCATAGAAAAACGTGGAAATGTGATCCGAAAAGGATTTATCCATCTGAAACTAAAACTAGTAACGCCGAATATTGGTTTAAGCTGCAAACTAAGGCATTTTCAATTTAATGGTGTTTACGCAAATCACATTACAACATGTCATCTACTTAAACTTGAAAGATATTTCGCGATCGGAAATACATTACGGGGTATTCAGAAAACACTTTCATTTGCTAGGTTAGAATGCTATAGGGCTTGCGGATTTTCAACCAGAGGGAACACTGTGTAGAAATAACGAAAGTTAACACCTGTGTGAAATTCTTGCTCAGCCTTGAAGAGTTATACGTGACGTACACTTGGCATTATTACATTATACTCATTATTAACTACGGATATTAGCCCGGGAATGCAAAATATATCACAAAAGCATGCAATACATGTAGAAAGAACTACAACAATACACTTACAATTCTTTGATGAGCATCGCGCTCTTTTAAAGCAACTCCCTCACGGTTGATGGAATAACACTGCTGACCTATATTAACAAATTTGACCCATATTTTCAAGTATAGTGGACAATATTTATCTACTCTCATGAACGTAGATACGTCTTCAAAGTTAATATTTCTCCTAGTCTGACAGACGTTAAATATGACTGTGGAAATAGAAGAAATAAAATCAAAATCAGTCAAATCAAAATCAGGGATACTACCCCTAACTCGGATCCAAAAAAGTCGAAAAATTGAAAATTTCAAAAACGCTTCCAAATGATAGAGGAATGCGTGAAACGTGTTTTGGTATTTGTGATCATGGGGTTTTGAGCTTGTTTAGGCCTAATAGCGCCCAGCTAGGCTGTCTTGCTTGTAACCGTAAAATCCCATAGTAAACACAGCATAAGCTATATTGACGAAATGAGTGTGAGTTAAATGGTTCTAATTGCTCGCTTATATGAATGTGTATGGTTTTCTATAGTCTTGGCAGACGTATAGAAGCTATTTGAATGCTAAATAGGTTGGTAGGGATAACGATTTCATTGAATTTGGTGGCTGCTGACTTCGTTTATAGGGGCCTATTGTCACTATAGCGTCGCTATGCGTGCAACTTTTGCATATAATAATACGTTTGGCTAGCCTTGTATGTGAGATGAGTTCTGTTGGGCTTGTCTATGTAGTGCATAATTGATTGACGTGATCAGTGATCGGCGTAATAATGCTTACCTATGCATTACTGTGTATACTAACGGTGCGAATGGTCCACCGAGGGGGGGCTGTCGAGTGGTTGTGCCACAGGACGATCCTGCATGCCGGTCTCATCTCACAAGAGGCAGGCATCGGTGTGTTTGGTTCTCCTGAAAACCAATACCCAGTCAATGAATGGGTGTATCACTGTGTGAATAAACTGGTTGATCCTGCCACTAGTCATATGCTTGTCTCAGAGATTAAGCCATGCATGTCTAAGTACATACCTTAAAACGGTGAAACCGCAAATGGCTCATTAAATCAGCTATGGTTCCTTAGATCATATATACTACATGGTTAACTGTAGTAATTCTAGAGCTAATACATGCAATTATCCTTCTGGGATTTCCACGAGGAAGTTCACACCTACTAAATTGCAGAACACCTTTGTTCTGGTGATTCTGGTCATCTGTTATCTTACAGGCAGTAACCAATTCCCTCCCGAGCTAATGGTAGCTAAGTTTGAAGAGACCTAATTTATTTAGCCGTTAATCATATGGTTTGTTTTGGATATCCATCACTCCTTTTGTTGTCCGTCTTTTGACTCTTTCCAAGAGGTTGGCGTCTCTTCTAAGCAGTGGGGGTGCAATGATATTATGCACTTCAAGGTGTGGCCTGACGAATGTTTCGTACAACCTTAGAAAGAGCTCAGGAGTGAATGGACCTTATTTTATATGTGTAAAGTGTATGCTCGCATATTAACTCGCTACATCCCCGTGTAATTCACGCTTGTGTGCATTTTCCTCTTTGGAACTAGACCTAAGTCACTTTCCGACGTTGCGCTGTATAAACTTTCGTTGCGCAGGGTGTAACTTGCATTCTACAGTCTACAGGTGCGTAATTTCACTACTTTGCACTTTTTGAGGTTGAAAGTCATGCCACTGGCCACCGTCCAGTCTTCCAAAAGCGTTAGATCTGCCTGCAGCCTATCTGAGTTCTCCGGACACTTTATCACCCTCCATATCTTTATGTCATCAGCGCATGGAAGAGTCGGGCATCTTAGACGGTATGGTAGGTCAGTGATGAAAGTCAAAAACATCAGTGGCCCTAGGATAGAGCTCTGTGACACTCCTGATGACGAGCTGTGTCAACATAATCGGACTCGATTGAACTTAGTGCAGAATTTCCTTTCATCTAGGTAGTCCTTTAACCATGACAGAAGTGGCTTACATATACCTGCCTGACTCATTTTGTGTATGAGAAGGTCATGATGAACTGTGCCAAACGCCCTCTCAAAGTTTAGGAAGACCAAAGGGATTGGAATATTCATGTCCCAGTACGATATCAAATCGTCCCAAGATGATAATGGGTTTGTTACACAGGATCTGATCCTCCTGAAACCGTGTTTTGCTCCATAAAGTCTATTAGACCTATGGAGATGCTCCGTGATGTGATCATCAATTCTACTTTCCAGTACTTTTGATACCAGTGAGAGTAGCGATACTGGTCCATGGCTGGTGGCATTTTGCCTGTCCTCACTCCTGAAAATCGGAAAAGGGATGGCTCTTTTCCACTCCCTCGGCAGTTTCCTTGAATCCATCGAGTGTTGGAACAAGTCGCATAAGGGCCTACAAAAAGCTTTGGCTAGCTGTTTCAGAACAGATGGCCTGATGTCATCACAACCTCGGAACTTTCCAAGTGGAAGTCTCTGTAGCTCCTCTAGTACTACTGCCGGGTTTATTTGCGAAGTAGCCACTTTTTTTTCCCACTTCGGTTGGCACCAGTAATACCCACATTGTTGTTTAACTGTTTGGCGATGGCTAAACTGAATATTTCAGCCGTTTCCAGACTGGTGGCCTATTGGCCGTTTGCACCTACTATGGCGCATGGTTGTTCTTCTCTACGAAATGAGTCGGTATAGGCTTTAAGGGTTGGCCAGGATTTTTTCGCAAGGTTAGCTTTAAATGGTCTCCTGTCATTCCTGACTCTTACGTCGCACAGTTTTCTGAATTTCAGGTATGCATCGTGGTCGGTCTGACTCATGGATATTCGCCACGTAGACCGAGCCTTCCCCTTTGCTTATAGAATACGTTGCGTGCCTCTCTTTAGCCATGAGGACCTTTTCTTCGGCTGTTCTGTGACTAAAGGGACGGTATTTCGGACTACTGTGTGAATAATTTCTTTTACCACTTCCCAGTGTTCATCCACAGATAACTCAGCCCATTTTATGGGCTCTTGTTACTACTCCCTAAACGCCTTACTGTTGAGTGAGTGAACAATGGATATCAGTCATAGCATGGCTTCCGTATATATGACACATCATGGAAAGTCAGACATTATGCTTTATCTGAGCCCAACAAACTCTTCAATTCCAAGGTTTTATACGATAAATTAGAATTACACCACTCATCGAATAATAATGATTTATGTTTCGTATGAACGGTAAGTTTACACGAAGCACATTGGAAGTACATTTACAAGATATAAACAAGGAGCTGGAGACTCCTTGGAATCATAGTATACACTTGCAGTGCAAATTATAAGGTGGTTGAATAAAGTGTTCGAGGTGATTCTCTCGTTCAAAATCCTAGGCAGTTCGGTTAATTCGTTGAGGTAAGTTTGAGGATGATCTAAACTTCCTAAATATTTGGAAATAACGGATATGTCGAAAATGGTGTGTCCGTTGGTCTATTAGTAAACAGTAGAAACAAAAGAATTTCTTAAAGCGATTCATTTGACATCACATCCTGTTCAGTATTCGTTTGAAGGCAGTGATCAGCACGTCTGCATGCTGCTTGTTGACTTTAGTCTCGTGTAGCTCGTCATAGTTTAACCGCGATCTTGTTAAACGTGGTTATTTTGATTACGTTCCCACTGTAACATAGGTCCTCAAGCTAGAATTTCGAAGTCTTGGTGGCAGTGGTTTTGTTTTTACTGGGCGGGTAATTAGCCTCACACCCAACCATCCTTCTTTACTCGTCTTACCACTAGCTCAGTGGGGTAAAGGGGTGAATTTGTCTGGGATCGAACCCCGGTGCAGTACCTTCGAAAACAGAAGACAGAAGAAAACAGCAAGAGAGTTGCAGAGGCAGCCAGCAAATACTAATAATTTAAACAGATATTATGTGATAAATGCAGGGCTCATTCCCTTTTTTATTACTAAGAATTCATAGTCACTGAATTCTATAGTGTTAGGTACTAACGGTTAGTTCAATTTTCTGGTAGTAAAAAAATAAAAAATAAGAGAGAAACGAGTGATGATTGTTCCCACCTATGTAGGGCAATACTGGGAAGAGATACTGAAGAAGTCAAATCCGAACGCCAAAGTCCATGAAATATGTAAAAGAAAAGTGAAAGTTAAGTAATATTTGAGTTGTTGTTCTGATTTATACAGTTAGATGTCCTCCTGAAGTAGAGAAATCCCACCATGAACTTTTTTCCAAAGAGTTTATACTCAGGATGTGGGATTCAGTCAGCTTTTATTTTTCATTTTGTTGGAGTTATTCAAACTCAGGAGCCTTAGCAAAAGGGTGCTTTACCACAGATAGGAACGGTCCTCGTGTATCCACAGCATTATATCAGCTGAATAGCGGTCATCACCCTCCCACCTTACTCCAAAAGTTGGAGGGAACATGAGGTTGAGAGCAGACAATATTATGGGAATTAATTCAAGACCGCAAAGCCCATGGTCAGTAAAAGTAGTGAAAGTTAAAATCTAGACCGTTTGTATCATATACTTCATAGGCTCATTCCGGTTGCAAAAGAGAACTTTTGACTAGATCGCAGCGTATTATACCTAAGGTATGTTTTGACAAGGCATTCTTCAAGAAATTAAGTAGTAATCTGCCGAAATTATTCGTGGATCCTGTAGGGGAAACACCTACCTAGTGTATAAAAATGCACTGACTTCAAATAAAGTGATACAGTTGTTAAATCTAGTCACATTGAAAATTTGGAATTCCATGTGCGTCGGTGGCACAGTGGTTAGGACCCTCGTCGACCATGCACATGGTCCGGGGTTTGACCCCCTGCCGACGCACACCGGATATCTATGGTCGCCCTGCAAAATTTCGGCTACCTATATCCATGCTGAAAATTCCATACTTGTACTGAAAATACGGTGTGGAATCAAGCTGTAATCAAAATAAAAAAATAAATAAATCTATTGGGGCAAACGTTTTCACCACTAAATATTGCACTCTTTGGAACCAACTGCCATCTGAAATTAGATGTTGTGAAAACCCCGATGGGCCCAAACGTAGCCTAGAAAGACACATTAACATGTCCACCTTAGCTCGTCTAGAAGACCACGACTGTTGGTAGAACGGTAATTGAAAGTCAGTCCAGTCTTCAGTATAGTCACTTGCGTATAACTCG